CGCACCGGTCTCGAGATTCAAACGGATCGGGACCATCCAGCCCGGGTCTTGATCATCCACCCCCTGCTCGGCACTCAGCACAGAAGTGCCGATCACAGACGGTTGTTCTTTGTGTCCGTCCTGGACATATTCGACGCTTTCCACCCCGGCACTTGAGGCGAGACGGGCCAGGGCGTCGGCTTGCACGTTTTCTGCCCGGGGGATATGTTCTATTTTAGTCTGGATCTTGGTCAGCTTCTTCTTCACCAGCCCCAGGTACGGGACCAGTCTTGGTTCCTTCACTTCGAACTCTCCGGATATCTGTTTGACCATCAGCATGGAGTCTGAGTATATGATGAGGTCGGTTAGGCCCTTGGCTTCTGCCAAGGCGAGCCCGGATAGCAATGACTCATATTCGGCTTCGTTATTGGTTGCCGGAAAAAGATATTGTATCGAATGACAAAAGAGCTTCTTGTGGGGATCCACAAGGACGACTCCTCCGCCTGCTCGTCCGGCAGTAGAGGACCCATCCACGTACATCACCCAAGGCTGTTCGTTCGTTTCTTTGAGTCCTGGCGTGAATTCGGCTATGAAGTTCGATAGTACCAGCCCCTTCATTATTGTTCGGGGTCGGTAATGAATGTCCTATTGCCCCAGCTCCACCGCCCACTTTACCATCCGGCCTGACGTGTCAGGCCGGTGAAGAATCTGCCTCAGCGGGTAGGCAGTGAGCACGGTTATTGAATATTCGAGGAAATACGGCCTTAACTTTCGCGCGGCGGTCACTAAGGCGAACGCGAGTTTCTCCATCGGCGGGTATCGCAGCTCGGCATCGTGAAGTGCCTTGCTGACATAGTAGACAGGATGTTGGGAAGATTTGTCCTCTCGGATGAGGGCGGCGCTGATTGCCACGTCGGAGACTCCCAAATAAAGGAAGAGCATTTCTCCAGGCCGGGGTTTTTGCATGGTTGGAGCCCAGCACAGGGCTTCTTTGATAGCTTCCAATGCTTGCTGGCACTCCGGAGTCCATTCGAACTTATGATTCTTTTTTATTGCGTCGAAGAACGGCTTACACCGGTCTGTCGACTTCGAGATGAATCGACTGAGGGCGGCAAGCTTGCCAGTTAGGCTTTGTACC